TTTCACTTCTCTTTTGTGGTGGGAATTTTTAAATTGGATATAGCCATTGGATGATAAAAAGGTACAATGGTTAGTCCTATTCATTCTCTCTGGATCTTCAAATCATGTGGGCTTTGTGGAATGCTGCATAATAGCCTGGATTTTGTAATAGTCACAATGGTGAAATTGTCAGTTCTAGTGTTATTATTCATCCAAGACTGACAGTGCTTACTGGAGTCCACGTTTGTACAGTTAAATAAGGAAATCCCTTGTTATTATCAGTGATTCTGTGCTTTTCCAATGGGTAGGTTTTAGAAGCCCACTCCACAATGCAGTTAGAAAAGTTTTGGAGCTGCTGATAACATGTATTGTTACATTTTTAATCACTGTTTAAAAAACCTTAAAAAGGTGGAAACTTGTTGATTGAGATCTAACTGGGTTAAGTGAAGTACTAAAGTTCTAACTACTCCAGGGGAGGCGATGGCCTAGTGGTATTATCGCTAGACTATTAATCCACAAACCCAGCTGATGTTCTGGGGACCCCGGTTCGAATTCCACCATGGCAAATGGTGGAATTTGAATTCAATAATTAAGAATCTACTGCTCACCATGAAATGGTTGTCGGAAAAACTCATTGGTTCACTAATGCCCTTCAGGGAAGGGAATCTGCCACCCTCCCCTGGTCTGGCCTACATGTGACTCCAGAGTCACAGCAATGTGGTTGACTCTCAACTGCCTTCTGAAATGGCCTAGCAAGCGACTCAGTTGTACCAATTACTACAAAGTCTCAGATAAAACTTGACAGATCACCTGGCATTGACCTAGGCACCGAAAAAGACAATGGTAGAAACAGCCCTGCTGACCCTGCAAAGTCCTTCTCACTAACATCTGGGAGTTAGTGCCAAAAATTGGGAGAGCGTCTCACGGACTAGTCAAGCAACAGCCTGACACAGTCATATTCACAGAATCATACCTTACAGATAATGTCCAGATACCACCATCCCCATCCCCATCCCTGGATATGTCCTATCCCATTGGCTGGGCAAACCCAGCAGAGGTGGCGGCAGAGTGATATAATCGGCAGGGTGTTGCTCTAGGGAGTCCTCAACATTGACTCCAGACCCCATGAAGTCTCATGGTTTCAGGTTAAACATGGGCAAGGAAACCTCCTGCTGATGAGCACTTACTGTCAGCACTTCAGCTGATGAATCAGTACTCCTCAGTGGTGAGCAACACTTTGAGGAAGCGCTGGAATGGTAAGGGCACAAAATGTACTCTGGGTGGGGGATTTCAATGTGCACCACCAAGAGCGGCTCGGCAGCAGTACTACTGATTGAGCTGGTCGGCTCCTAAAGGATATAGCTGCGAGACTGGGTCTGTGCCAGGTGGTGAGGGAACCAACAAGAGGGAAAAACATACTTAACCTCATGCTTACCAATCCGCCAGCTGCAGATGCATCTGTCCATGACAGTATCGGTAAGAGTGACCATTGCACAGTCCTTGTGGAGGTGAAGTCCCGCCTTCATATTGAGAACAACCTCCATTGTGTTGTGTGGCACTATCACTGTGCTAAATGGGACAGACTTTGCACAGATCTCGCAACTCAAGACTGGGCATCCATGAGGCGCTGTGAGCCATCAACAGCAGAATTGCACTCCAGCACAATCTGTAGCCTCATGGCCCGACATATTCCCCACTCAACCATTACCATCAAGCCAGGGGACCAACCTTGTTTCAATGGAAGGTGCAGGAGGGCATGCCAGGAGCAGCACCAGGCATACCTGAAGATGAGGTATCAACCTGGTGAAGCCACCAAACAGGACTACTTGGCACATAAAACAGCATAAGCAGCAAGTGATCCCACAACCAAATGATCAGATCTAAGCTCTGCAGTCCTGCCACATCAAGCCCTGAATGGTGGTGGACAATTAAACAACTCACTGTAGGAGGCAGCTCCACAAATATCCCCATCCTCAATGATGGAAGAGCCCGGCACATTAGCGCGAAAGATAAGGCTAAGCATTCGCAGCAATCTTCAGCCAGAAGCGCCGAATGGATGATCCATCTCGGCCTCCTCCAATGGTCCCCAGCATTACAGATACCAGTCTTCAACCAATTCGATTCACTCCACGTGATATCAAGAAACGGTTGGAGACGCTGGATACTGCAAAGTCTACAGGCCCTGACAACATTATGGCAATAGTACTGAAGACCTATGCCCCAGAACTTGTCGATCCTTTAGCCAAGCTGTTCCAGGACAGTTACAACTCTGGTATCTACCCGACAACGTGGAAAATTGCCCAAGTATATCCTGTACACAAAAAGCAGGACAAATCCAACCCAGCCAATTACCACCCCAGTCTACTCTCCTATCATCAGTAAAGTGATGGTAGGTGTCATCAACAGTGCTATCAAGCAGCACTTGCTCTGCAACACTCAGTTTGGGTTCCAACAGGGCCACTCAGCCCCTGATCTCATTATAGCCTTGGTTCAAGCATGGACAAAACAGCTGAATTCCAGAGGTGAGGTGAGAGTGACAGCCCTCGACATCAAGGCTGCATTTGGCTGTGTGGCATCAAGGAGTCCTAGCAAACCCGGAATCAATGGGTATCGGGGGCAAACTCTCCGGTTGTTGGATTCATACCTGACACATAGGAAGATGGTCGTGGTTGTTGGTGGTTAATCATCTCAGCTCCAGGACATCTCTGCAGGAGTTCCTCAGGCTAGTGTCCTAGGCTCACATCTTCAGCTGTTTCATCAATGGCCTTCCCTCCATCATAAGGTCAGAAGTGGAGATGTTCACCAATGATTGCACAAATGTTCAGAACCATTGGTGACTCCTCAGATACTGAAGCAGTCCATGTCCACATGCAACAAGATTTGGACAATATCCAGGCTTGGGCTGGCAAGTGGCAAGTGGCAAGTGACATTCTCACCACACAATTGCTAGGAAATGACCATCACCAATAAGAGACAATCTAACCACAGTCCCTTGACATTCAATGGTGTTACCATCACTGAATCCCCAACTATCAACATCCTGGGGGTTACCATTGACCAGAAACTCAACTTGACTCACCACATTAACACAGTGGCTACAACAGCAGGCCAGAAGCTACAGATATTGTGGCGAGTAATTCATTTCCTGGCTCCCCAAAGCCTGTGCGACATCCACAAGGCACAAATCAGGAGTGTGATGGAATACTCCCAACTGGCCTAGATGAGTGCAGCCCCAAAACACTCGAGAACCATCCAGGACAAAGCAGCTCACTTGATTGACACTACGTTCACAAGCATTCAATCCCTGCACAATCGATGCTCAGTAGCTACAGTGTGGACTATCTACAAGATGCACGCAGAAATTCACCAAAGATCCTCAGACAGTACCTTCCAAACCCACAACCACTTCCATCTAGAAGGGAAAGGGCAGCAGATATATGGGAACATCACCACCTTCAAGTTCCCCTCCAAGTCACTCACCATCCTGACTTGAAATATATCGCCATTCCTTCACTATCGCTGGGTCAAATTCCTGGAATTCCCTCCCTCCTAGCATTGTGGGTCAACCCACAGCGGTTCAAGAAGGCAGCTCACCACCACCTTCAAGTGCAACTAGGGATGGGCAAGAAATGCTGGTCAGCGAGCATCATCCACATCTCACAAATGAATAGAGATAAATGGTCTTTGAGCCAGAAACTACAAGTTACATTTCTGAATGATTAAATACTCCATGATTCCATTTTTAAAAATTTATAAATGTTTATGACATTGTTACTTGCTACCTTAATCCCATGTGTGTCCCAATCATTTAATTAAGTTTTACAGAAACCAGATGTGATACGGTTCAGTGGTTTAGTAATATGGTTAAAGATATCACTTTAATGTGATTGGCTGCTTTTCCTGCCTGATGATATCACTGCTTCTGCACACCTGGAGATCCCCCACTTTACTGGCAGATCCAAATTAGCATTGGAAAAGAGGAAATCCACACAACAGATTGCTGTATCTTTGAAGGCAGCACTCACCACTGACCTTTAAACAAAGTTGTTGCTTTGCTTCTGGCTCCAAAGTCCATCTCACTAATTTCATCACATTTCCAGACAATGGTCATTTTAAAATGGAGACAAAAATTTGTGTACTTATGAACTACCCAAATATTTATTGTGTCATAACCTTTCCTGTTCCATATGTAGTGGTACCAATATGTAGATCCTGAAAGCTTATTCAGGTTTCTACTATTCTGTATTGGACAACTGGAACCTTATTCAACCTTATTCAGTTAGTGACCATGTTTCATTGTTTGGGATTGAATCTAGAATTGCATTTGAATAGTTAGATATGCTATAAGAATTATGAAAACAATTCTTCTTGATTTTTGCCACACGTGGTTGCCATATCTAAATCTGCTCAAGAATAGCTAAATCTTCTCCTGAATCTATAGCCCAGAATTTAATAGCCCAGGAGTAAATAAGATTATAAATAGGAAACTCTTCAAAGGTAGTGAGGCTTATTTTCACCAACTCCTTAAATTAAAAAAAACCGATAGCTTCACACAAAAAGATTTGGACCACATTTAGGTTTGAGCTGATAAGTGACCAGGAATGTTAGTCATGCCTCAGAAATGCCAGGTATGACCAGCTCTAGTAAAAGTCTAATCATCTCTTCTTGATACTATGAAAAATCATTGAATCCCGGTGACCTTATAGAAGTTTACAAAAACATCCGGGCATGGATAGGGTGAACAGCCAAGATCTTTTCCCCAGGTAGGAGAGTCCAAAACCAGAGGGCATGGGTTTAAGGTAAGAGGAGAAAGATTTAAAAGGGATCTAAAGGGGCAACTTTTTCCATGCAGAAGGTGGTGCACATATGGAGTGAACTGCCAGGGGAAGTGGTGGTGGCTGGTACAATTACATCATTTAAAAGATATCTGGATGGGTATATGAATAGGAAGGGTTTAGAGGCATATGAGCCAAATGCTGGCAAAATGGACTTTATTAATTTAAGATATCTGGTTGGCATGGACGAGTAGGACTGAAGGGTTTGTTTCCATGGTGTACAGCTCTATGACTCATCAACTATATTCTGGTGGTCATCACTGACCAGAGATTTAAGTGTACCAGCCATATAAAAACTGTGGGTGTAAGAACAGGTCAGAAGTTGGGTATTCTGCAATGAATAACCCCTCAAAAAACACTCAATGCTGAATACCATCCAGCACAAAACTGAATTGACATTCCATTCACTGCTTAAAAAACCACACCCTCCACCATGGACTAGAACAGTTCTTTAAGGGTCTCTAAGGTTTTTGAGTAGATTTGTAGCTTGGGTTGTGGATGTTTTCGTTGGCTCGCTGAACTCGTTCATTGTTCCACAGATGTTTCATTACCCTGCTGGGTAACATCATCAGTGCAGCCTCCAATGAAGTGCTGATGTGTTTTCCTGCCCATTATTTAAACTCTGGTGTCCGTTGAACTGGGTTACCTCACTTCCGGTGTTCCTTCGCAGTGAGTAGATATAGGGTCTAGCTCTGTGTGTTTGATGGCCTTCTTTGTGGAGAACCAGGCCTCTAGGAATTCCCATGCTAATCAACGAGCAGCAAAAAGACATGCCTAATACTCACTCATCTCCATCCACATGGATAAGGAGAACCACCAGTTTGATTGTGACAACACCAGGATCGTGGGACAGGCCAAGCAGATACAAGCACGGGAATTCCTAGAATTCCTAGGCAGCATGGTGGCTCAGTGGTTAGCACTGCTGTCTCACAACACCAGGGACCCAGGTTCGATTCCACCCTCCGGCAACTGTCTGTGTGGAGTTTGCATGTTCTCCCCGTGTCCGTGTCGGTTTTCTCCGGGTGCTCTGGTTTCCTCCCACAGTCCAAAGATGTGCAGCCTAGATGGATTGGCCATGCTAAATTGCCAGTCATGTTCAGGGATGTGTAGATGAGATGGGTTACAGGGGGATGGGTCTGGGTGGGATGCTCTGAAGGTCAGTGTGGACTTGTTGGGCCAAAGGGCCTGTTTCCACACTGTAGGGATTCTATGATTCTACCTGCAATGTTGACATGTGGGAATCATGTTGGGAACAATGTGATGCTTTTTCTTATAATTGGTCAAACTAGTGCTTAAAAAATATAATGTTTCACTACTACTTGTTTGTCATACAGAATTTTTCTTCTACATATAGGTTCATGTTAAAAATCTATATTAAACAAGTGTGTTTTATAACATTCAAACACAAGACTGCTTAAAAGATAGTATAAAATTTCAGAACTATCACAACACAGACAGAGATAAATTATACTTACTTCTTAATTGCAAACATAAAGTATAGACTTCGTGGCATCACAAGTAGTACTTGATCCCGTAAAATGGCATCCGTAATTTTTTTGGCAGTATAATTCTGATCCAAAATAGGAAGGAGGTGTGCCCACCTGTACAGAAATTAAGTAAAATGGAGGTAAAAGCCTTAGTTTGATTTCTTGCAATGCATCCATTAAAATAAATTATGTGGGTATTGAAGAGTAAGAAACGTGGTCAGCCTCTTTAAAGAGGTCTTGTCAAATTTTCTCCAACATTGTTCTTCAGGTCCTTCCAACTAACAGCTACATTTAAAAAAAATTCATAATAGCTATCGTCTGCTGTCTGCAATATCTGTAATAAAAATCGGTGAGACGACCAGATCATAAAGTCTCATTCAGTACAATGAAGGTTTCTCAACACTTTCATTGGACTTGTGTCAACCATGGCTTAGTTGGTAACACATTCACCTCTGAAACACAAGGTTCTGGCTTCAAGTACCGATCCAGGACTTGAAACCAAGTAAATAGAATGAGGCTGACCCCCAAGTACAGTATTTAACATGCACTGGACTGTCACAGTCTTTTAATTAAACGCTAAATTTAAGTCCCATCTGCCTGTGCAGATGGATCTGACAAAAAAAAACCTATTTTGAAGAGGAGCAGGGAAGTTACCTCAAACAACATTTTAAAAATGTTTCTGGTAGTAAGCACATTACTTTTTATGGGAGTTTGCTCAGTGCCTACATTCCAGCAATGACTACACTTTAATATATTTAAAAAAAGCCCACAAGAGGGAGCTGGACTGATTTTTGACTGAGATTTACAATGGAATCATAGAATCCTTATGGAGCATAAAGAGGGAATTTGACCCATTGATTCAGTGCTGACCCTCCAAATAGCATCCCACTCAATTCCCCTAACCCCGCATTTACCATTGCTAATCCACCGAGCCTTCACATCCCCAGGCACTACGAAACAATTCAGCATGGCCAATCCACTCAGCCTGCTCATCTTTGGCCTGTGGGAGGCAATTGGAACACCTGGTGGAAACCCATGCAAACAGTCACCTAAGATTGGAATCAAACCCAATCGATTCCTGGCACTGTGAGCCACTGTAGGGGAGCCAAAGAGGCAAGTGGATTTACAGTAAACAAATGCACTGTCGATATGATGTTTTGGACTGTTTTGAATACCAAGTCAAAAAGAATTTTCCAGATGTTTTTCCATCATTGGTCTAGTTTTTGTTTGCTTTGGCATCTCTCTTGTTCAGGCAAGAGGGATGCGGGTTGGGGGAGCAGTCATAATGCATCAGGAGTGTGAGAAATAGGTATGTTGGATCATTTGATTTTTTTCTGTCTGTAATTTTCATTTGACAACTATGTATTTCTGTTTGTAAAGTTTCAATTGAAAATAAGAATGAACAAATTAGAATGCATTTTGTTGACTGCCTTCACAATCTTGAAAACACCTCTTCTTCTGCCTTATTCAAGGACAATAAATCATTCTAGCACCCGAAAATCCATTCATAAACACAGCTAATGTTCTTGGTATTCCTTCAAAAGGCCAAAATCTCTTCTAGCTCTACAGAACTCTGGCCACACTACTCCAATTTTGACCTTGCGTGCATCCTGATTTTCTTCACCCCTCTACTGATAACTCTGCATTTAATTGCTGAGGGCACACATTCTAGAACTCCCTCCCTAAAGCTCCACATGTAATTTCTCTCTCAAGATTTCTTCCTTAAAAGCTACCTGTGGCCAAACATTTGGTTGCTTGTCCTAATGTCTCCTTATGTGTTTCAGTGACACATTTTGTCTGCTAACACTCATCCAAAGTACCTACGGATGTCTCAAAGAGTTGAAAGGTGAATTGCTACATTCCCAATTTGAAATAATAGCTTTTAAATAACCTATTTTTGCATTACATTTTTGAATGAATAAATGTGCATATAAACCATAACAAATTTAGTGAATTAACATGTATACATATTTAGTTTTACAGCCATCAAACATTCCCGTGTTTATGAAGTACGGGCAAACGATAGTAGTCTTTATACCGTTTTTCCCGGATGCTAGTAATTCTAGTGCAACAGACTCCGCAAAACCAATTGCTGCGAACTTACTTGAACAATAATCTGTAAAAGATGAACAACATCCATTCACCAAAAATGTGGGAGTTGGTTTGACAGAAGTCAACTGTATTAGAACAATAGGACAATTTATTGAAATTTACTGTAAATGGCTTAGCATTTAGTTTCAGTAACTGAACTGGTTGAGCATAAAGTGCACGCAAATACTCCTTTAAATGCAAAATACTCCATGCATCTTTTAAAAAAAAAACGTACTTGCTGCCCTTTGTTCCTTCAGGTTTAACATCTCAGATAAAGAGGATGACAGTTATAGTAACCAACTTTGCTTGGAAGTCCATGCATACCACATGAATAAAATTACCCTCATCAGGCTTTTCTGTTAGCTCACCAAAACAAAAATCAAAAGATGTTTAAAGGGAGATGGTGGCCTGGCGGTACTGTTACTACACTAGTAACCCAGACATCTGGGCTAAGACCCAGGACTCAATTCTCATTATGGTGGCAAGTGGAATTTAAATTCAGTTAACAAATCTGGAGCAAAGAGCTAGCCAAACCATTGTTCATTGTCAGGTACACTGATATCCTTTAAAGGGAAGAAGTTGGCTCACTAATATCCTTTAAAGAACGAAGCTGTGACTCCAGACTCTGAGCAATGATTTTGACTGTCTACATGTACTCTAGAACTTTGTGCAAAGATAGGGAAGTGATTGCAAGGCCCCTTGCTGAGATATTTGTATCATCGATAGCCATGGGTGAGGTGGCAGAAGACAGGAGGTTGGGTGACATGATGCCATTGTTTAAGAAAGATGGTAAGCAAAAACCAGGGAACTGTAGACCAATGAGCCTTCATCGGTGCTGGGCAAGTTGCTGGAGGGGATTCCGAAGGACAGGATTTACATGTATTTGCAAAGGAAAGGACTGATTAGGGATAGTCAACATGGCTTTGTGTGTGGGAAATAGTGTCTCACTAACATGATTGAGTTTTTCTGAAGAAGTGACAAAGAGGATTGATGAAGGAAGAGTGGTGAACGTTGTCTATACAGACTTCAGTAAGGTGTTCGACAAGGTTCCTCATGATAGGCTGGTTAACAAGGTTAGATAGTATGGAATACAGGGAGAACTAGCCATTTGAATATAAATTGTCTCGAAGATAGGAGACAGAG